TTCTTGGATATGCTACTAACAGTAAAGCGTATAGAGTTTACAATAAACGTACTATGTGTGTTGAGGAAAGTGCGCATGTTATATTTGATGAAACTAATCCACTTCCATGTACACAGGAACATGAGGACTATGACTTTGAAATTGGTCTAGTACGTTCTCAAGAACAAGAAGAAGATGCAATAATTCCAAACAAGCATCCAACTCGAGTAAATGAAAATCATGAAAATCCGGAGAAGGAACTCGACATACTGACTGAAGTTCCTTCGACAGAACAGCCTCAGATTGAAGAACCTGCCGAGGAACCAATAACACAAGAGGAAATCACTGAAGAAGAAGCAACTGGCTCAGAAAATAAGAATAGTCGAGTTACTATCCAAACCTTCCAGCCCAAACCTTGGAAGCACCAAAAGTCACACCCACTGGACAAAATTATTAGTGACTTATGCAAAGGAACTCAGACTAGATCGCAAATGGGAAACTTCTGTGCCTTCAATGCTTTTCTATCTACTTTGGAACCTCGCAACCATAAAGAAGCCTTAGAAGACCCTGACTGGATTATAGTCATGCAAGAGGAACTTAATGAATTCGAAAGAAATCAGGTATGGCATCTTGAACCTAAGCCACTAGATAAAAAGGTCATAGGTTTAAAATGGGTCTTTCGAAACAAACTTGATGAATATGGTACAATTGTAAGAAATAAGGCTAGGTTGGTTGTAAAGGGATATAACCAACAGGAAGGTATTGATTTTGAGGAAACATTTGCTCCTGTTGCTAGACTTGAGGCTATTAGAATATTAATATCTTTTGCTGCTTTTATGGGTTTTAAACTGTATCAGATGGACGTAAAGTGTGCGTTTTTGAATGGTTTATTAAAAGAAACAGTTTACGTCAATCAACCCCCTGGATTCGAGAATCCAAACTTTCCAAACCATGTTTTTAAACTTGATAAGGCTCTCTACGGGCTAAAACAGGCTCCAAGAGCATGGTACGAAAGACTGTCCAAGTTCCTTTTGGAAAATGATTTTAAACGAGGAAAAATTGATAAAACTTTGTTTTTAAAATCTAAAGGAATTCATCTCTTAGTTGTGCAGATCTATGTTGATGATATTATATTTGGTGCAACTAACGAATCTTTGTGCAAGTACTTTGCTGACTTGATGTGCAGTGAGTTCCAAATGAGCATGATGGGGGAACTCAATTTCTTTTTAGGACTGCAGATCAAACAAACAGAATCAGGAATATTTATACATCAGCAAAAATATGTCAAGGAACTCCTGAAAAAGTATAACCTTGACAGCGCAAAGACTAACCACACTCTTATGGGAACTAACTCTAGGTTAGACGAAGATCCCTCAGGAACTTGTGTGGACCAGACAAAGTACAGAGGTATGATTGGTTCCTTACTATACTTAACTGCAAGTAGACCTGACATTTCTTTTAGTGTTGGTCTGTGTGCTAGGTTCCAATCAAACCCCAAAGAATCGCATCTAACAGCCGTCAAGAGAATACTGAGATATCTCAAAGGAACTGACGACTTGAGTTTATTCTACCCAAGAAGTGACACATATGATCTTACTGGATTTGCCGATGCCGACTATGCTGGGGATTTGGTGAATAGAAAAAGTAAATCAGGTATGGTCCAATTCCTAGGATCTTGTTTAGTTTCTTGGAGTTCCAAGAAACAGAATACAGTTGCTCTATCCACAGCAGAAGCAGAATACGTAGCAGCTGCTGCATGTTGCTCACAACTGTTGTGGATAAAACAACAATTACGTGATTTTGGCATAGTTCTTGAATGTGTTCCAATATACTGTGATAATATAAGTGCTATTTGCAAATCAAAAGATCCAGTACATCATTCACGTGTAAAGCATATTCATGTTAGGCATCATTTTCTAAAAGACAATGTGGAAAAAGGCTCTATTAAACTAGAATTTGTACAAACTGAATATCAAATTGCTGACAATCTAACAAAGCCTTTGAGTAGAGAAAAATTCGAAAAGATGCGATTGGAACTCGGAATGATAAAGCTGAATTGAGCAGTTCTTCTTAGAACCCCAAGGTATGTCTTAGTGAAACGACTGAGCATTGCTATATATAACCTTGGTGTGAAAAACATAATCTTGAATCTTGCAATGAAAGAGTGTGCAATTCTATTTTGTGTGTGATCATATGATTATGTCGATGAAGAAGACAAATTGAGCCATGTTGTTTCCAAGTTCCTTTTGCTAAAGTTACAAACCTCTGTACATGTCAACTAGTAGATCACCTCACGTAATTTACTGGAAATTTTCTTTCGTTATTTTCCATTTTTATTTATCTTTTTATTTTTGTAATTTTCTTATTGTTATCTTTTTCTATTTTATTATTATTATTCTTCCTATTCAAAAATACAAAAATATTTGTTCTTATCTTATTTTTTCTTTATCTTATTTTCATCTTCATTATCTTTATTAATCCTTTAAATTTTTATTTTTTTTATCCTTGTTTAATTTTTTATTTTTGTTAAGTTATTGTTTGATATGATTGCAAAATAAATTATCACCCACAATTTACCCAAACCCACTTATCCATAAACCTAAACCGTCACATCACATCACTACCACTACTCCATCATTCCCTCTCTTCCCATACACTCAACCCACATTCACTCCACCTAAATTCAAGTCACCTAAAACCATCAGTTCACCAAAACCATCCACCTTCACCTCTTCAAATTACCACCAAACCTCCATAAAAACCCCACCGTAACAACCCAATCAAAACCCACCTTCAATTATCTTCTTCTTAGCCAATACAATGCAAATTAATTTCCCTGCATTAATGATCATCCACCTTGAGTCATAAAGTAGAAAATGGTGTAACATTTTTTGTTAAAAACCCGACGGAACAAACTGAGGGGGAATCAAATATTGTTGAAGAAGATGAGGCCAAAAGTGGGGCTGATCTTTGTGAGGGAGAAGATGAGTTAGAAGAGGAAGTTGATGGTGTATCAAAAAAAAAAAAAGCGAAATACAGAGGAAGTAATGAGGGAAAAAGTTTAAGGAGATTGAGGAACAGAAGGAGACAAAGGATATGATGGCGAAGAAGGGATGAAGTTCACATACACTTAATTCATCAATCTGACTCAGAGGACAAAAATCCCAATGAAATTCCTAACCACCATGTTCCTTTTTCAAAAGAAACATCCCCAAGTTCCTTATCCTGACCTACTTAGTTTCTCTCCATTTGGCTTTACTGCATTTCGTGAATATCTACCCTCGCCCAAACCTAAACAACCTCCACAACACCCTCAGCCTAACCTTACATCACTTAGCCTCTTTTGCAATTTATATTGAACAGTGATGTTTTGTTTTAATTTTTATTTTCTGTTTTATCTAGCACAATTTTTTTTCTTTCGGCTTGTACTAATGGAACTGGCTCAGTTTTCTCTTTGGAATTGACATTCTCATTTTGGTTGCATATGAACTGTGTGCGCATGCTTAATCGTTCATGAATTCAGATTTACTACTCCCTCCGTAGTTTAGTACTATATATAGCATGCTCTTTCTATCATTTTGATAATGTCAAAAGGGGGAAGAGAAGAACAAACTCAAAAAGCTGGACTCAAACCGATTCCCTTCGAGTCTTCATCATTTAAGTAAAGGTATAAATTTCACAATTTATTAATTTCATGAATGATGCAGACTTCTTTATCCTTAGTTTATTTTATTGCTTTAAATAATTTAATTGTTTTATTTAAGTATTGGTTACTCTGATTGCTTGGATGTTTGTTTTGTTTAACCGAGTTTGTTTTTGTTTGTCATCATCAAAAAGGGGGAATATTGTTGAATTGACTACCTTAATATTTTGATGATTGACTTACGTAAAACAAACTCTGACTAATGATGTTTATGAGTCTTGGTTGAACAGAAAGATTCAGGTACACAAATACATGTTCCGGAGTAGGAACAACAGAGTTTGGAAGACTTGATGATGAATGCAAGCTTTCAAGATGTCCTCAAAACTCTATATTCTTAGTTACTCAGTGTACGAACTTAAGAAACAAAAGTGTTGGAAAGAATTAAGAAGAAACTCGAAGTTCCTGAAGGAACCTGAAGTTCCTGAAGGAACTTGACGAATGACTCAGAAAGTTTTAAACGAAAGTTTTAAAACGGTTTTCAAAAACCCTTAATTTAAGGAAGTGATAAAAATCTGTTTTGAAAAAGATTTAAAAAGATTTTATAAATAAATAAATAATTCATTAATTTAAAAAGATAAGTTTTAAATTAATTAATTTTTTGTGTTTTAATTAATAAATAAATAATTATCTTTTTTTAATAAATAATAATTATCTTTAACTGATTTTTAACTTGGTAAATATTGGCTGCTTAAATTAAGGAGCACGTTGAATTTAGGAGTCAAGCTAGGGAAATCATGTTCCTAAATTTCCTCTGCCTACATCCCAACTTCTCAGTCAAAGAGAACGTGGGAATAAGGGGGAAGTGGGAACTTGATGGAAGCTTGGTTTAACTCCTTATAAAAACAGATCAACGTTAAGTTTTGAAAGTGTGGAAAAACAATCTTAAGTATTCTAAGCATAGAGTTTCAAAGTGTTTAAAAGAGAAGTTCCTTCCATCCTTAGTCTCTTAAGTTCTTTAGGAAATACTTGTAATCATTGTGTAATTGGGTTTGGGTTGTGAGAGTTGTAAAGTGTGAGACTTGAGCGAGTTGTTTACACTGTACAAGTGATTCGGAGTAGAATCACAAAGTGTGAGAAACTGTGATTGAGGGATCACAGTTGGGTAACTTGAGTTCCTCACGGAACTTGAGTCTAGGCAACGTATTAGTGATTGTAAATCATTTTTACATAGTGAATTTATTCATTGTCTATCTCATTGTCTTTTCTCTTAGTAGTAGATTTAATTCCGTAAAATTTACCATAGTCTACATACACTACAATTCACCCCCCTCTTGTAATATACATTGTTCTATCAGAATTTCAAGAAAAAAAGGGAGCGTTACTCGGTAAAATGGGAGCGACAAATAACAACACCCACAGTTCCTGTTGCACTCCACATTCCCAAAGATGTTACTAGCAGTGGCAGCAAAAGAGAAATCGAAACCCACAAAAAGAGTTGATCACCCAAGCTTACAACCTCAACCCACTCTCGGGTTTGTACCCTTAACTTATAAACTAATATATGAGGTCTTAACCCTCCACAAACTTTGTATCGACAAGTGACAAGTAGATACAAATCACCGGAATGTTCTACCAACCGCTTCCTCCTCCTCTGAAGCAATTGCAGCCCCTCCAGATTGCAGTTAGGAGGGGGTAAGGCGATTTGAGTCAACTCTAACGAATACAAATCCACTAAAAAGGCTCTCCCTTTGCAATCAACAACACACAATCTCCCTTCCAAATTAACAATATCATCAAACCTAATGTCTTCGTCATCCTGTCCATAATTAACTACCCTCCACCCGACTGGGTCCGGGGTTAATTCAGATCCCAACAACCTCAACAATCCCACTTTCCCTCCTCGCAAAAGGGCAACCACAACAACATTTTTTCCATCCTCATCATCACAATCAATAGGAATAGGATAAATAATACTAACATAATTATAATTACTCACAATAATAACTTTATCAACAACACCATTATAACCAGTTAAAAATCGAAATCGATCAAATTTAACAAATCTTTCCTCCACATTTTCTTTTTTATTATGAAGAAGAACAATTCCATAAAACTTAGTAATTGGAGAAATAGTAAAATCAAGCATATTTTTTACCATAAAAAACCCATCAATAGAAGATTTTGAGGAGAAAACATGAGGCAGAAATTTATTAGGAAGAAGCTCCTCAAATTCAGCAAGCTTGCCAGAAGCCCAATTTACAAATCCGAATGCGGATTTATAATACCCATGCCCAGTTTGTTCGGATTCTTTGGGGTGAAGCAAATACATAGTTCTCTCTGTTAGAATAAATGATGAAGGTGGATCCCTTCTCTTTATGGAGTCGTAAATTATTGGAGGTTCAGGGATTTTAAAAGCTTCAATTTTGGGTTTAAAGAAGAGAGAAGATCTCCATGACTTGCAAACTGACCGGAATCTCAGGACGTCTAACCGGAATTTGAGGCGTTTTCCGATTTCTAATAGAAGCTCCGGTGGGAGATCCGACCAATCCACTACTCTGTGCCTTCCCATATCTCCTTTTCGTCAACTCTTGTATGTTATGAAACTTACTAGGGTTTTGAGGATTTATACTCCGCACAAATAAATATTAATTTTATAAAAATATTTACTACTCGTAATACAAAGTTGAAGATATTAATGGGCAAACATATGCATCACATGTGTGAGCCGTGAAAAGAGTTAGTGTATCACTTTTAAAAAGTAGAGGTATATAAAACAAGACTTATTTTTTTTTAATATAATTATAAGTTTAAAATTAATACAAAGTATTTTATTTTGATCCAACTTATGTGAATATAAAAGTTTTATTCAGTTTATCAATGTATAACAGAAACTATTTCAAAAGTGCCGCTTGATATATAATTTATTCAATTTTTTTAATTTGTGTTTGATATGTTGGGATTAAAATATTGTAAATTGAACAAATTATATTCATGATATAGTATGATTCTTGAATACAAGTACAGTATATGTTTTATGTAGGAACTAGGGAAGGTTTACAATTCCCAAATACTCCGTATATTGCTATATTTTCTTATCAGGGCTATAAAAGCAATACTCCGTAACAATATTTAATAAAGCCGTGCAATGTGAGCAACTCTAACAACACATAGGCTTAATAGCTACTCCATAGTGATGAACATATAATTTAAATACATTAACATGACAGATAGACTGTCCATGTAGATTAAACCACTTTTATGTAATGTCAATTTTTTTACAAGGGGAGCAAATCAGTACAATTTTCATGAAACTGGCTAACCCCATCCTCAAGACAAAAGCTTCCTTCTGCTAAGAGACTGAGACTACAAATATATTTTCCTTTCAAAAATCGGAGGGTTGATGGCAACAACAGTTTGCGGTATATGGATGTTTGAAGCAGAGCACTAAAGATGAGCAAGTACGTTGAGCTCTCCTCATTTTCTATATAATTTCTATATATATTGCTCATCATTCTCCGCTTTCATGACATACGATTCATCTACGGGAGGCATATTATCTAACTTGTACAAGTGTTGAACTCTACTCTTGATATCATCTAGCTCTGCTTGAACAGATGATACCTCTGATCTTAGCTCTGACCTTTCTAGCTCCCACAAAGCTCTATCATTTTCTCGCCGAGACTGAACATATGCAATTCTCTTGTGCAGCCGAATACACTCATTCCGAAGGAAACTAATTTCTTTTCTACTTCTTTCTACACTAGCTGATAATTCATCAGACCAATGAAAAAATTCACATTGCTGCAATAATGTCAAAAAGAAAAGCTACAATTATGAGTCGATAAATAAAATTCTTGAAAAGAATTGAACATTAAGTGTGAGATATAGAGTGCATACATGCTGAAACACATTCTTGGGGCAGTTAAAGAATAATCTATAGGGATTTCTCAAAGTTTTTGACATCCTCCAATTTGGCTGGAAGCCCACAGTTACAGTGCAGCTCGCAACTTTCACTAGTCGAACTTGCACCCTCAGAGGTACTGATCTCATGCAAATATTAGATCCTGCGATGTTTTGTCCATCTGTGAGATCATGAAACAACATTTGGAAACCAGAATCAAAATGAAATGAAGTGCTAACAAAACTAATAATACATCCAAAAGATCCCAAAAAATAAGATAACGTCCACAACGGTTTTTTTTTTTAAAAAAAGTGTTTTAATAAATAAGTCATATTTCCCTTTTCTGGAGAATCTGTCTCCCTCCCCCCCCCCCCCCACACACACAATCAAATTAAACCCAGCTCCAAGTTAGCCTACTATAATTTACCAAGGCACAAATGCAAGGAAAGCTTCAACCTTTTAAATGACAACATGCCAAAGCTTGCTGATATGTGATTTAACATACACTCGGTATTGTGAAGACGGTTAAATTAGTTTCAATGTGAATAGCACAAGAAAAAGCTATTTTCCGTTCAAAAAAAAAGTAACACACTTTCTATCGTTAAATAATGTGTTTGTAAATGACGTCTACTTTCCAAAGCTTCATAACAAGGTTATTGGGGAACAGCTGTACTAAGTATTTCATGGGTCTTCTTAGCAAGATTTTGGATTGCTTCTGAGGTTGGAGTTGATCAGTGAGAAATGTAGCAACTTAGGGCCTGTTCTCATTGACTGAACTCAGCTGAGCTGAATTGAACAGAACTCAGCTGAGCTGAGCTGAACTGAATTGAAATGAATATTTTATAAGAGAAGGAAATTAGGAGCTGAGCTGAGCTGAACTGAATTTCAACGTAAGAGAACAGACCCTTAGATAAGTATAGCAGCTGCAAGACAAAACATGCAGTTTAATTTCTTAATGAGTGCTAGAAACATGATGTTTTACGTGGCAATAAAATGTAAGCAGCAAAACTCCAACAGGCGGCTTCATGTTTATTTATTTTTTCTGAACAGGTACATATGGACTCTCTAATTTAGGTGCATCGCACAGGTTATATATACTATTAATATAAATATGAAATCAAATATATATAAACAACTAATTAATTTTATAGATATGATTTTTTTATGCAAATATAATTATATATCAAATAATAAATATTATAGGTAATAAATTACAGTATTAGATCACCTAAGCTTTAGCAATGCCAATCATTGAGATATTTCCATCAGGTATGTGATTTGAGGATTGTGGTAAAAGTTTGACGTGCTAATTTTCTGATATGGTGCTGTTGTGATCAATAAAATGGAGATGCTCCTTCAATTGTGTGTTAATTGCATGTTGCTGGTCTATATGCTTTTATGTTACAATAATTCAATCATTAAAGTCCATCCTAACATATTGCAGACAATTTGGCGCTTGAAAATGGGGTTTGAAGGATTAATTGGCTTGCCAAAGCTTAGGTGATCTAATACTATTATTTCATTACCTATAATGTCAATAAGTTGAAATATAATTATATAAAGTCATTAGCATCAAAAAATACACTCCAATGCGAGCATAAGGCAGCATAATCATTCATGCCAATGCACATATTTGACTTAGGTGCTTCACATATTTAACTTAGGTGCTACACGCATTTGGAATCTTTACTTTGGTAGCGTTAGCTTGGAATAACTTTCTTCTTTATTTGCAGGAGATAAAGGCATCTCAAATCAAACCACATACAAGTTCCTCAAAAACAATTTTAATGTGAGTGAAGCTTATAAATGAATTTAGAGTTCCTCTAAATTTAAAGTTTGATAAGTGAAGCTAAAAGTCAAATTATAACCCTTAAGTCAAAGTAATTTATATTAAGTGAGGGTACTTATCTTCAAAGTCTTACGCAGATCCAAATATATATCAGTGATAAATATTGAAGCAACAAAATACAGGCTGTGATGAAAACCTTATACCTTATCCAGGCATTCCTCCATAGAAAAGTTGCAACTGCAATCCCAACCATCGCAGTGGCAGAGTACTAGGAAAGCCAACCTCCTTGATGATCCTGTACCACTGTCAATAAAAAAATTCAGCTTACAACAAAAACAAGAGATGACAGTAAAACCTACAAGGCTACAAGAAGGAAATTAAGAAAACAGAAAGTTTATATGAGGAATAAAATTAACATGAATGCCAAAATGGACAATCCTTCGGATATCCAAGATTTCACCACTCAATAATACATGGGAAGGATAGTTGCTGCAATAAAAATCTTGAATCTTTTTCTTTATAATAGATAAAAATCTTGTTCTTGTGCAGTGGGAGTGCACTTGGAAATGTTGAAACTCTAAATCAAATCAAAAACACCCAATATAGGAAGAGATTTGAAACTACTGATCTAAATTATCAACCAATGACTTATCCCTCAACAACCATAACTCTATCATGTGCCCCTCCACAATTCATAACCTCGTGTTCATAACTCGTTGGATTATCATCACGAAAACATTCTCAGCAAGCGGACACAGCTTAAGTCAAGGTATATCGCATTGCGACAATCCAATCAAAAGCACACAAACACGACCATAGGAAGCAGTGTACAATAATCTTGCAGTGTCCACTAAGATTAATTAGGTGAGCTAGGATACATTAGACCGCTCACTTCTATTCACAGTTACATTTTTTATACAAAAACTGCTCAATTCAAACACAAACGAAGTACAAGTATTAAATTAAGCTCACTACTGGAGCAATACAGCAAACAATTCACGTGCATCAAGGTTCTTTCACAAATCAACGAGATTGTGGAGCATTTTAGCAACAAATTTCACAAATCATTCCCAAATGCTGCATTAAGGTTCTTCGTTACAGTGAAATTAAATTAAAAAATAAAAGGCAAAAAATCATGGAAATTAAATAATTGAACTAGTTATATATACATGAAAAATTCAATTTTTAATGTCGTATAACATTAATTCAAGCTTTCAAACAAATAATCAAATAAAAAAAATATATAATCGACTTTATTACAATTTTTGTAATTTTGCTTGACAAATTAAGGGGAAACGAAGAATTGGAGAGAGAAAATTATCTGTATCGACTAACCTGGGCGTTAAAAATGGCGAGAGAAGACGAAATTTGGTCCGAAAAGCGGAAATGAAGAGCAACATCGAAGTTGAGCATTCCCAGAAAACATTGAAAATTGATCTTACAACAATGTCGCTTGAATTTGATTGATTTCAGGCCAAAATTGGGGGAAAAAGTGCATATTAGGTTGAATTTGATTCCCGTCTGAAAAAAGGTTGAATTTGATTAATGTTTTCAAGTAATTAGAAACCCTAGCTTCTTTTTTTTTTTTTTTTTTTTTTTTATGATTTAATGATAATCTGTATCTTTGAGCTGAATTTTGTTTAGAAATTTTGAGGAATATAAACTGTATGCTAATACGGTAAAATAATTTGACCAATTTTTAGATTTTTATAATTTGATCATTTTGGAGGGAAATGATTTTAGCACACCCCTAATTGATTTTGGCATACTCCTATGTGAAAGCATAATTTTCTATGTTCTTTCTCACATAGGGGTGTGCCAAAATCAATAAAGGGTGTGCCAAAATCAATTTCTCATTTTGAAGTGTTAAATACCGCCATAAAAAAGAACAAAACCGTTAATGTGTGAATTGACAATCATGTCCTTAATATTTCACCACCATTTTCCCCTGCTTGCCAGATGCCACCAATCACTGATCGACGACAATCACCAGTCCACCACCACCCTAGCCGCTGATGACCACCACCCTGACCCATGTATGGTCTTCCAATCGAAATAATAAACTCTCTTCGGGTGAAATTTATTCTGTGGAGGCGGATGCACCATGCTTGGTGCATCCGGTTTTCTTTAAAAAAAGGCGGAATGAACATTTAGTTGTCAGTAAAGAACATATAGTTATTTTGTAAAGAACATATAGCTATTTTATAAAGAACATCCAATTTTATATGTTTTTTTTATAAATCTAAAGAAAATTTGTAATATTAGTAAAGAACATAATAAAATTAAGGAAAAATTGCAAAAAACCACCTTTTATAACAACTTTTTTGTAAAAAAACACCTTATATAAATTTTCTTGTAAAAACACACCTAAAACCACTTTTTTTTCTTTCGAAGTAACACCTTAACCCGGTTTCCGTCCTTTGACTTGGTTTTCAGGCGTTGACCTGCACGTGAGAAGCACGTGTTCCGGTGACTTGCCCCTATTATTTTTTTTTTTCCCAATTTACCCTCCATTTCTCCAATTTAACTTTCTCTCTCCTCCCTCTTCTCCAACAAAGTCCCAATTATTCACCATTAATGAAGAAATCTCCATTTTTAAGCATGAATTGTTGCAATTAACCTAATTTCGAGTAGGGTAAGTTGTTGTAATTACTGAATTTCTTGTAAATTATGTTGGGTTTTTCGTATTTTCATAAATTAGGGTTTGTAATTGAAAATTAGGGTTCTTCGTTTTTTCCCACAAATGATGAAATTAGGAGTAATTTCGAGAGGCCAATTAATGAACACCAATGTGGTCTTTATTTTATTAATTTTTTTTTTTTTTTGTATGTGCTTTCTCTATTTATTGGGCTTCAATGGAGGAAGGGGATGAAGAGGTGAAGTGGGGTTTTTGGGTGAATGGGGCTGAATGAAAATGGGTGGAATTTTCATGGGAGCAAATTTATTGGGTGAAATGGTGTTGGTGAGAGTAGTAGTGAATTAGTGGTGGTGGTGAGGTGGTGTTGGTGGGGGCGGCAGTGAGGTGGTGGCGGCGGTGAGGGAAAAGAGAAAAAAAATAAAGGAAGAAGATCACGTGACCCACACGTGCAAAGTCAACGCCGGAAGAATCAAACACCGGAAACCGGGTTAAGGTGTTACTTCACAAAAAAAAAAGTGATTTTAGGTGTGTTTTTACAAGAAAATTTTTATAAGGTGTTTTTTCACAAAAAAAAGTGTTATAAAAGGTGGTTTTTTGCAATTTAAGAACATTATTCATATAGTAAATGTACATTTGGTATAAATGATCATATATGTATATGAAAAAGTACACTTTACTGTATTATAATGTACATTGTATATTTGCATCATGTAAGTATATGAAAAAAAAAACATTTTACTGTATTTTAATGTACATTGTATTATTTGGATCTACAATTTTTTCTAAATTTGTCTTTTTGCTTGCTTTCTTCTTCCAAAATGTATTAGTTGGTTGATCTTCTTCAAGAATTATATTTTATTTCTCATTGCAACAACAAAATTACATCAAAATCGCAATTAATTCCCAATGAAATAAGATATTACAATTTTCAATCTAATTTATAAAAAACAAACACTCAAACTCAAAATAAATAAGCATGAATGTCAAATAAACAAGTTTGAATGTCGAATCTGGTCTTACCTTTCGTTTTTATATGTCATCTTGAACAATTTTGGACTCAAAATTTCGAATTTCTTGAAATTTTAATTGCTTGAGGTTTGAGGAATTTTAATGGGTTTGAAGTTTTGTTTGGAGAGAGAATGAACTTTTGGTAAAAAAAAATTGAAATGATTTGTAATTAATGTATGGTAAAAATAATAATTATAGTACTATTTATCCATTTTATTATACAAAATTTCTTTAAAAATAAATATATATATAAAAAATTGTTGCACGAAAATCTCATGTACATTATAAATGAACACTATGTTCTTTTATATGCCCATGTACATTAGTATATACCTGCATGTTCATTCCGCCTTTTTGTATTTTGGAGCGGATGCACCATGCAGATCGTGCATCCGCCTCCACAAACCAAACATTACTCTTTGGGAGGATATAGCTGGAGTGGTTTTGCCACATATGTTGGTGTAATTGTATTTTTTATTTGTTTATTGGGTTCTTCCCTTGTCTCATTTAGGAATAATTTTTTATAATTAAATAATAGTGTTAAATTAATACTCTGTAATAGGTATTAAGTAATAAAATCCGGGAGGAGTCATATATATATATATATATATATATATATATATATATATATATATATATATATATATATATATATTATGAGTTATATGACCAATTGTTTAATAGTTTAGTTCATAAAAATCTAAAGGTAAAATAAAAACTGGCCCAAAGAATATAAAATCACATAAAAATAAGGAGATAAAATAGGTATAACACTACTAGTACTTATAAACCATACATCAAATTAAGCCATAAGTAGTATATACAATTACAATTATTTATCATACATTCATTCGGTTAATTAAGATGATATATAACTATATATAAGTATATAATACATGGATTACTTTTACGTAGCATTATTAATTATATTTACAATCTAATTACTAGAAATTAGTGGCAAATCAACCTCATCACTCCATTCTATGCACCTAGTTTCATAATAAGAACTTTCAACGTCACTTGGCCAATAAGTCAACCAAATTTTGCACCCAATTCCCCACTTCAACACACTACCCTCCATATCTTTGTTCAATCTCCACTTAACCTCTTCTCCATACTCATTTCCAGTGAAAACAAGGCCACCAGATTTCATAAAAGGCCTATTTACTCTTGAATACCTTTTTCCCAAATCATCCTTAGGCTTGTTATTGATACATGCACCTCCATTTAACTTTGTGCTATAAACTTCAATCCCATTTGTGTTATCATAAAAGATTGCATCAAATATTGCCGTGTTTCCCTCTACATCTTGGTCGTATCTCCAATTCTTCATCTTCGTCTTTGTTGAGCTCCTTGACATCGTTTTCACCTTAGGATTCTTCAACTTACCAAAACTGCCTTTCACTAATTTTTGCGTCTCCATTTCTCTTTCTGAATTAGCCGTTGATTTCCCTAAACTCAAACTTGTTACATAGTCAGACCCTACCTCTGGTCCAACCCAAAATTCAATTCTTGAAGGAAAATACAATTCTTCACGAAATTCCACCTCATTACCGTCTTCATTTTTATTAAACCCTAATTTTACCACGTGGAGTCGTATGTTATTGACATGTGTGCTAACTTGGATATGCCCTTCAAAGAATCTAACTGCATATTCAAGCTGAATATGAGCTTCTAGTTGTTGGTGTGCTAGAGCATACCTTAGTGCTGATTCCTTAGCCCCAACAAAAAGAAACCCTTCTTTCCCATCACTTGAGCACGTACGCTTCATCCCCCATATTGGCACGTAGCCTTTCAACAACCAAAGACCACAAGCTTCCGAAGCATAAGTAAGCCCAAGGTTTGAAGGCAAAGGTAGTAACGATGTCAAACCCACGCGCATCTCTCTTGTAATCAACCACTTTGCTAGCATATATCCAAAGGCGCGTGAGATGCACATCTCAACATCGGCACCAACAACACCCATGAACCCCTTCAACACTGGCACGCGATTAACACGTGACAATAACTCGAGGTTTGGGCCTAATAAAGAATGGAAGTAGAAAGATCCGACTTCAGTAGGAGCATCGCATGCACATAGCCAAAATAGGCGTGTCAATAACAATAGATTGAAAAAACACGAAAAAGATTCGGGTGTATACGTCTCAAGGATCCTTGCAATTGGATAAAGTTTTACCTTAACAAATTGGGATCCATGGTGGGTGTGATCATGGAAAGTCATAGGTGCACGATTTATTGTTTCTTGGACAAGTTGGAGTACAAGGGGTAGAAAAGGCTTATTAGAGGAAAGGGAACAAGGGTCAGATAACCATAGTGTCTTTTGAGACGACAACGGTTCATTAGGATCAAATCCTTGGATACATATAGAAAACGTTATCCATACTTCAGTTTTCAACTCGGATGAACGTTCAGCTTTTAGTTGAATTGATCGAGTTGAGTTTTCTCTAGTGGTGTTACTAGAAGAAGCAAGGTTGTAAAAGAGTTGCGAGTTTGAATGACTACTCCATTCAGGGGAACTAGGTAGGTCACATATCCATGACCAAATATCCATACTTGAGATTATATTATTGAGGTTTATGGTTAAGAGCTAATTAAGGAGAAGAGTAGTGTATGGAAGACTGTAAGCGATGAAGTGTAATATACATGCATGGATTTATAGGAAGAATGAGTGATGCATGATATGCCAACTTGGAACTAATTTTAGCCACCTAACAAAATAAGGATCTAAGGTATCGTCATAAGCGGTCCATATTAAGCTAGGTTAATCTTACTACTTCTGTTTGCTTTCATGCATTTAATGTGAGAGTACATCCAATATGAGTAAATATACGAAGTATTATACAGATATAATAACATATACTCCCTGCGTTTCTTAAAGATTATATTGTCCCCATTAGTCCATTATACGCATATTAAGGCAATGATTAATTATTACAAGATTGTTCCGTTTTCATTTTAGTTAGCATGATCATTACAATTACTCTTACTTAATTACTTTATCTATTGTGCGCGCGCTCTTAATTGAGAAACAAATTTAACTATTCCCTCAATATATAACTCTTATTAAACCGAAAATTGGAAGTTTTGAAAAGTATATTCAAAGGAAAATGATACTACTGATTATCCTTTCTCTTTTGCATGGCCCGTGAATTTAACATTTATTGCATTGCTTTTCAATGAGTTGAATCTCATCTTATACTAGTAGTAATAAATTTGTCTATTGAGTATTGAGTGGTGATGGAAAAGAATACAAAGAAGTTGACGTGGATATTTTGGAGCAGCCAATTTTGGACTTTACAAAAAATACTTTCTACGATTGGAAAGTTTAGGAAGTGGCCAAATTTCAGCTTTGTAGTTTGCATATTAGACAAATGCTACGTGCTAAAATTGATACCACTAAAACCTAGTTAACTACATCTTCAAATAATACACCAATCTAGTCACATATATAAATGTTGATAGATTCTTATCTATTAGTATCCTGTGGGGTTAGAGTAGAAATAATGATTCCCCTAATTACAGGGCAAAGTGAGAGTATGTAACAACGTTAATGGTGGAGCAAAGGTTTATTTGGACCTTTAATTATCTTTTATATATGTCCGAAAATAGTAGTATTTCACAATTTAATACTAGTATTTTTTTAACCACTTATATTACCCAATTATATTACTAGTTATTATATATATATATATATATATATATATATATATATATATATATAACCATGCCCTCAATATGATCAATATCAAACTTAATGCTACATATGGTAAAAACTTTAAAGAAAAAGGGGAAAAGTAGGCATATATTTTCCAACCCAACATAAAAAAATTATTAATCTGATAAATATAGATAGTACAAATATAGAATTACCAGACTCTAAATTAACTTGATCAACCCGTTTGACATATTGAATTACCCAACTCTAAAAAAAGGGGAAAAGTAGGTATATATATTCCAACCAAAAAAAAAAAAAAACTAATATATACATGTAGTACAAATATCGAATTATCCGACTCTAAATTAACTTGATTGGCTAGTTTGACATTGAATTACCCGACTCTAAATTAACTTGATTAACCCGTTTGACATATCGAGTAAAAATGATTCATACCCATCCTCATAACTCACAAGTCCTTAACTTTACAACTTACAAGGCCACAAATCCACAATAAGATGAGATCTAAGAGGAGGCCCAAACCAATGGTGCAAATAACTGCAAGCCCAAAAGTTGACTTTTCAAAGATACAACTTTAAGAGTGAGCAACAATTAACAAGACATCTTTATCAAAAAAAAAAAAAAAAAAAAAAAAAAAAAAAAAAACAAAAACAAAAAACAAGACATCGTCTTCCCCAATTGCATTATCAGTTCTACTCCCAAATTCTGAAATTCCCAATTTCCGAAGAAGAGAGAGAAAAAAATTAGGGTTCTTATTTCAGCAGCAGCAGAATAATCGAATGGTAGTAGAGAAAATGCAGAAAGCATTGCGGGCATATGCTGAGGTACTGAGGTTAATTAGGCGTCTTCCCAAAGATACTCGCTCTTATTATGCTAAGTATGCTCGCGAAAATTTCGTCAATTACAGAGAAGTTGATGCTGCTGATTCCGCCGCCATTGATGAACTTCTTAATCGCACTTATACTCATTCTGTTTGGGTTCTTCACAAGGTCATCTCTCTCTTCGACGCTTCGATTTTTGTTATTTTTTGTTTAATTTTGGATTTTTTTTTCCTTATTTTTTGGTGGGTGAAATTGCAGTATTCTGTGAATGAAGGTGCGGCGGAGAAGCTGAAGAATGTTTGTTCTACACAGTGAAAGATCAGTACGCTTTCCCCACTTTTCTTTCGTTTTAGGTGTTGCGTGATTGGGTTACAAATTAAAAAGTTTGATTTTTTGCATGTTTTTGTGATGATTCGGAATTTGTTTTAATTTGATCATTGAATTAAGTTCAATTGTGTTGGATTGGAAATGTTGGATTAGTGATTGATATCAACTTTGTCATTTTGATTATTCAGGCATGTAAGATGTTTTAGCTAACTGCTGTTATTATTAAGCTTTGTGCTTTAAGAGTTGGACTTGCTGTTGCTCTGTATGAATATGCGCGATCTGTCTAGTGATAGATCTCTCTTGCAATAGTGTGTTTTTCTGTGTCTTTTTAAATGTTGGATTGTGAAAGTATATATTATACCGGATGCAATGGAGTAATTATGTACATATTGCTCTGTATGAATATGCGCGATCTGTCTAGTGATAGATCTCTCTTGCAATAGTGTGTTTTTCTGTGTCTTTTTAAATGTTGGATTGTGAAGGTATATATTATACCGGATGCAATGGAGTAATTATGTATATATCTTTGATGCATGAAGCTATGTGCACCCTCCGGCGCATGCATTACACGTGTCGGCGTATGAGGCATACACGGTAGTCACCTGTACCTCACACACTGGCGCATGTGGTGCACGCGCTGGTGGATGCATGCATCTTTGTGCACCATGTAAGCATTGATTTAATGTCATGTATTACTACCTTGACAACTAAGGAAGAGTGAAGGTCATTGTTTTGCTAAAGCCTATATGAAATAGAACTTTTGAGCTTTGACCAAGGAGCCTCAAAGAGTCCTAAGTCACTCTATGTGTCTGGGAAAGGCTTAGTGACATTTAAGATGCATTCTGGAAGCATATATATGATTGTCCTTGTGCCTAAGCCTGAACATCCTCTTTTCTCATAAAGATGATATATTGTTAATCTGTTACTTTGGTAGTATTTAGAGTAACCTTGATGTTATTAAAGGGTATGGGTCCTTCTTGAAGTAAAAGCTTCAAGGGATTGTTTGAATAGCTCATGCCTAGCTCTCTAGATTCTCTAGTCTCTACTCTCTACCCCTTAGTTAAATTGATGGTCACATCATATATATGAAAAGGCCGAAGGTGCACATTGTGCATTGAAGTGAGGCACACTTGGTGTAATTTTTTTTTTAATTAAAATAATCTGCTGGCCTCACTGAAATCACCTCGCCTAGAATAAGCACTCCACATCCTTTCTCTCAAATAGTGTTCCGTCTAAGGTTTTGTTGCCTCGTAGCTTATGAAGTAAAACATAATTTAGTTGTTTCTAACTTGCACAAAAATTATAAGATACAAAAATTAGTGTCTTTGAACTCAAACACTCCCTTTACTTAAGGAATTTTGTTTTCTCTAAAAACTTTTAACAATCCTTTGTTCTAATCTCTAATTGGTTCTCCATTTTGTGCCTTTGGTGTATTTAGCTATATCCACCTCTTACACATGCATCATATGTGTTAGTGAGTGAGATACATTATATGTATTTAATATGTGCACCTCACACACTGGCGCATGTGGTGCACTCGTTGGTTGGTGCATGTATCTATGTGGGCCATGTAAGCATTGATTTAAATCAATTGGAGAAGGAATTAAGCCCATTTTTAGTTGTGGTAGAAGTTATAGTAACCTGTTTGTGGTTTGAAGTTTAGAACCTTTTTGGATCTCTATTAGTCTAAAGCTTAAAGGAATAGTTTAGCCGGCTCATTCATGTGATTCAAATCCCTTGGTAAAAATGTTGTGTAAGCTTTGGCTACATATTATTGTAGCTAATTCATAGTTTGGGCTGCCTTTGACTTGTCTTGTTGTAGCTTAATAACTTCTACGCATTTCTTGTAAATTACATTAAATGGAAGGTGCATGTCTTATCTATTAGATCATCATCAATAATCAACTTTTCATGATTCATCCTCCCTTTACCTCTTTTAGCGGCTTAACATATTTTTGAACTATACATTAATATGGATGTATGAATCTAGTGAGGAAAGTGAGTAAGTGACATTGGGTGAAGGAAGAGTATTCTCTTTGTATCATGTACCATTTGTAAGTAGGGAATAAGATGGGCCACACATAAGTCCACCTCTTTCCTTCCTTTATAAGTGTTGTGAATCATGATGCATATTGGATTTCAATCATGAGACAAGGAATGATATGGTGATAATAATTTTTGAATATTTTTTTGCAATACAATATCCAAATGATCATATTTCTATCATTTTGTTATGATATCTAGAAAAATTCTCAGATGCCACTATTATTAGCCTATCACCTCCTCATGAAGATTTCATTATTAATAGAAAAAAAGAGAAAATTATAATATATACTTCCCTTCTTTATTAGTTGCAACATTTTGACACTAATGTTCTAATTATAAATGCTCAATAACATATAAGAAAAAAACATAATCATGAGGAATTTTAATCTTGTAAGATTATTCTTGATTTATTTTTTCTAAATGTAATCTTTTTATAATGATCAATACTAAGGAAGTAATGGTCAAATAAGTACATTGAAGATTTTAAAGTCATATATGGAATGGAGGAATGATATTGTATTATCAATAGGTTTTAATTAATTTTATGAATAAGATGTATCATTTGTTATAAAGTGTCGTCATCATTGTTTGATTATCAACTCAATGATCACAAATCTCTTAATTCTACGGGGTGGACTTGGCTTTTTTTTAAGTGTGTTGTTGTTAATGAAACTACATAGTATGTGATACAATTGGGCTTCTGAAGCTTAGTGTTTCTAATGGTAGGCTCCATCTTAGGTGTATCAAGCTAATTGCATCCATCGGCGCATGCATCACACACGCCGACGTATGAGGTACATAAGTTACTCATATGTACTTCATATGCCGACGTGTGTGGTGCACGCGCTGGTGGATGCATGCATCTCTATGCACCACTAATCATTGATTTGCGACGATACATTGTTATTTAATTTTTAAAATATGTCCTAGCCTTTTCTGCTATATTTTTGAGGGAGGCATGGTTACTTTTTTTGAAGATGTGATTCTGTGCAGAATGCTCTTGAAGCAAATCACCATGGCTGTCCATGTTCTTCAATTTTAATTTATAAGCCTCTTATTTTTCTAAAAAAACAGTAGAATTTTTAATTACCTTGATGTGTTTAAGATGAGAGAAAGGGGGGGGGGGTGTCCTTATTCAGCTATAAAGCTGTGAATTTCTTATTAAATCTTCAAGGATTAGTTTTGTTAGCTGGTCATGGAACATGATGACTAGATCTTCGAGAAAGACTGAAAATTCTGTTGGAATTGGTGTTGGTTCTTGGTTCACTCTTGATCTTTGGTATGAGAATTTAGTTTCCTATTTCCAACTTTCTTATTATGGCTAGAACCTTTGAGGCACATCGTAAAAATATATAATAAAAACTTAATTTGAAGGGTTTGACTATACTATTATTGGAGCATCATTTACCAAAATTTTTTTAAGAGGCCCTCTTTCTTCTTTTTCATGAACCAAAATTATGGGGTAAGAAGAAGAGAGCATTATCAGAGGAGGGGAGAGGAAGGAGAATGACTCCATAAATGAGCCATCCTCTATTTTTCTATCCTATTCTACAAGTGGGTGCACTTCATGAGCTATTGGTGTGTAGAAGATTCTATTACATGTAAGGAGCAATTGTATTCCAATAACAGTTACTGAGGACTTTATCTTCCTTGACTAAGCAATATAGCAATTGTATTTTTCTGGGATAAAAGCAGCAAAATCACATTTTGTCATTAACCATCACTCCTCACTCTTCAGTTCTCATTAGGTGCTCAAAGGAAGTTTGAGGTTAAGATGAAATGAAATTTAAAAAAGATAGAAGAAAGGAAGCGATAATATGTATACATAGTAAGATTATAGGGTTGAGAATTCATAGAGGTTTAAGTGGATATTATGAGAGAAAAAGGAAGAAACTTGTTCTTGGTTGTAGAAATTGAATATTTCTGGTTCTGACTAATTTGAAGGGAAATTGAGAGAAAAAGTATGAGAGAGAAGAATTAGATGAAGATGAAGTGATGATGAACACTAAACCATTGTAACATTTCTTAAATATTACTGGTATCCTTACTGAAAACGTGTGTTATTTTTATTTTATTGTTGAAAATAACTTCAAAATTTCATGAACTATTATTGTAATTTCAATCTCCACCTTGAAGATGTTTCCGCTTATAATGGAGTACTTGACTGTTGTATTATCTCCGTTCCAATGCCTTGATGATTTTATGTTTCTGTATCTTGTTTGATAGGCTACCAAGGTAACACTGCAGCATCACAATAACGAAGGTGAAGACCTTCTAAATGAACTCATTCATCACCTGTGCTCTGCTATTGTTTGCAACTGGAGCTGCCAAGAAATCTGATAAAGGTCTAAAGTTTGACTTTAGAGATTGGAGTACTATTAAGCACCTACAACTATGTATTTGAGGATGGTAAAACTGTATCCTGGTATTGTTGCCATCAGTTGCACATACTTTTTTGGGCGGGGAGCGGGTTGGGGGGTGATGAGTTTTTAACTATATAAACAATCTTTGAGGGACGTTTTGATGACAAATAAGGCTGATGATATCTTGCAGAAACATAAAAGGGCTAGAGTTTTTGCACCTGTGTGGATTTCGATTGACTTGCTTTGTTTAGATGATTTTGTAGTATTAAATAAATGAGCAAGTATGTTATGTTTCTATAAGCCTTTCAAATTTGAGTTCTTTTGCTTAATCTAGTATACAGGTTTAAGACTTGTTTACTTCACGAGATCTGATCTGGTCTTATATGAATTTTTATTATCTGGTTTGATCTGATTTAATAATTTAACTAAACTTTGACCGCATTTTAATACCAATCTATAAAGAAAGACACTATGAGAGTGAGGGATAGCTCAAGTGGTTAGAGCTTTCCTATCGATTCTCACCCCCGCCTTTGTGGCTCTTTACACCAAAAAATAAAGAAAGACACTGCTTACTACTATAGATATTACTTGTTTAGAGTGCATTGACGAGCATAAAACTTGGAGGAAACATAAGTTAGAACAAAATACATACACCATAGCAAGGTTTTTTTTTTTTTTGATAGACAAAAAGTTAAATAACATTGGGATATTCTAGGAAGTAGAATAAATAAATAGGTGTCAATCAAGATAAATGAGTCGGGTTTAGTGAGGTCGAATTAGGTGTATCTATTTGAAAATTAAGTCATACTTAATATTTTATGTACATGAATCAAAATTTAAATTAGGCTGTTCTCGGATTGATCAAGTCAGTTTTTAATACCTTTAAATTAGAATACGAGGTAAGCCTTAAATTATTGTACCGCAGTAAATGAGTATTTTTTTTCCTTTGAAAATATGGAATCCTTAAAAATGTGAACCAAATTTCATCTACTTGTACATTTCTTAAAATCTTTCCACTTCCACATGAAGTTAAAACAAACATGTACTCAACTCACTTACTCGATTCCACCAAAGCGGTAGAAACACAGTAACAGTACCATTATCTCTTTTTTTTTTTTTTTTTTTTTTTTTTTTCACTGTTTTGCATTTTCAGGTAATCAGGTTTAGAAGCACTAAACCCATGACTTTTCTTGGGCTTAGTTTTTTTGATTGATATATTGTGTTTTTCTTCACTCTTTGACTCCCTTAATTCCCATTACCCAACACTCTCCTTGGAAATTTAATTTACCCCTCCCCCATTTCCTCTTTCTTCTTCCTTTCTTCCTTCCTTAAAAACAGAGCATAAAAACAGAGCATTACATTAAATAGAAGAACCTTCCGTTTTTTACTCCTAGAAATCTTTCCCACATTCATTTCTTTTTTGGGTTTTTTTTTATAAAAAAATAAAAAGGGTAAATATTATAGTATGATAATGGGTGAAAATGGAGGAAAAGAGGGAGAAATTCATCTTCCAGGTGGGAGTTTTTCAAGGCTACTTTTGTCATTAGAAGATGTTGAAGAAAAAGGCTTTTCTGTTGATTCCCCTGTTTCTCCTACTCTGTTTTCTTCTAATACTCCTAATATGCTCTGTTTTGGTGACTTTATTTCTAAAACCACTCCTAAATTTACTCATACTACTGCCAATACTACTAATCTCACTCCCTCCAACTCCAATGTTAGTTTCTTTCTCCCTCTATTACTCTTTATGAAATCTTATATTACTTGGATTCATGTACTCGTGTCTGACATGAGTACGTGTCTAAGTATCAGACTCGTCTACTTTATGAAAAATTTTGTACCGGTAGTTGAGATGAAATGAAGAGTCGGGTAACATAAATGATGCTAATGTTGATGAGTTTTTAATTTTGATTACAGAAAAGGAGAAATGGGCCGGGTAAAGAATCTGAAAATGGGTCTCAAAATGGTCAGAATCAGAAAAATGGGGTGAAGAAGAATAAAACAGAAATGGGGCCCATTGTTACATCTTCTCCTAAACATGTAAAGGTTGGTAAAAGCTTTCAGCTTTACTTTGCATGCATGTTCATAAACCTTGATTATTAGTCTTATTATAGTTCTACTGTTGTTACAATATATTTTGGGCTCTTTATTTTTTAAGATGACTCAAATAATTGATAAATATTGCTGCAAATTTATGTTGTTGATGTTGTGTGATGTACAATAAATAAATAGGGGAAAAGAGAGAAACTTGGTGAGAGGATTGCTGTATTGCAGCAGCTTGTATCTCCTTATGGCAAGGTTTGCTAACTATTCTCTCTTTTTAACTACTTAGCTTTGCACTGCCAATTCTACGTGGACGGTATGTTTGTACTAGGTTTATTCAGTAACATGTACTTTGTACATAATGTGAAAATTGTTCAATTTTGAATCATTGTAAATCCATAAATTGGATATATAACTAGTTATAATAATTGAGTACAATCCTCGGCCTTGTTTGGTTGACGAACAAATTCATGGGAATTTATTTTGATTTCCTAGGAAATAAATTTATGCATGCTTGTTTGGTTTATTGATTTTTATTTTCTTGTGATACAGACGGACACTTCTTCGGTGTTACATGAAGCAATGGGGTACATAAGGTTCCTACATGATCAAGTGAAGGTGCTTTCTACACCTTACTTGAAGCTTTCGCCTTCATCGTCGTCTCCTCGTCACTTTATTTCTGTAAGTACAATCTATAATGAATCTACCCCAAAGTGGAAAAAAATTTTGGGACAAATTTTATCTTGTTTATGAATGTAATGGAGTAATTCAGTGCAATATGATAAGATAAATGGTGATTGAGGTAAGACAGTTGTACACTAGTGCGCGATTGATTATCATTGTACTCTAATTTGGCACCACCCTGAACATCTTTGTTGCTAGAAGTGTTTCACCTAATTTGGTTGTATGATTGGAGTCTTATGAATTGACTTGTTTCTATATTCTTGGTCTACATGATGTCGTATGATAATGTAGATGGTCGGACTAGAACTTTGAGAAATACATGTGAATTATAGGAGGAACAAGTGATGTTTAGATGATTTACCACTCTTTAATGTTTCATCATTTTAGGAAGATTTAATTCGAAATAATCTGTATTTAATTAGAAGGAAGGCAAGTTGATCAATGTATTGACTGATTCAATGTTTATTATGTGGTTTTAAAATTTTTATTTAAGCCTTTTCATATATACAGATATACTCCCATTTGCTTATCTTTCTAGTAGTACTTGTCTATTCTAAGCATCTATGTATCGTGTAGTTGTGTATGTACTTGATCCGAACACGGAACAAAAACATTACTTCGTATGTATGGTCAGCCAGAAATGAAACCGAAAGTAAGTACTGGAGTATGTATTAAGGTGTGACTGTGTGAGTAGGTGATTGATTATAGACATTGGGAGATTACCTTTGCTAGAAAAAGATACTTTAGTTAATTAATTCTAAAATAAGTGGGATTTTTGTGATTAAAAAAAAAAAACTGTAAGAATGACGTAAGGAGAAAAAACAGTGATATGATGTCAATCAAAATTCAAAAAAATTAAAGACTTGTAAGCTCAAAAGAGTTAACTTGTAAGTGTACGCAGCTATAGTCCCATCATAATCAGGCCATCTACTGAAGCATGCATGCACTTGCCTCTTTCCCCTTCTTTTCAATTTTTCTAATAACTATGAAATGATACTTCGAAATACATAGTCACGGGGAATTGATTTTGGCACGTCATTAATTGATATTGACACACCTTCATATAAGAAGAGCATAAAAAATTGTGCTTTCACAAAGAGTGCTAAAATTAACTTATGGTGTTCCAAAATCATTTCCTAGTTGTTTGGCTGACATAGTTTCAATTTGATCAAGTGTATTTAAGTCGCTCACCTAGATTTTTACTCGTGCTCTAGTACTTGTATAGTTGTATATGCTATACATCATATGTTTGACATACGTAGTAATATATTTGGGCTTCGTTCATGAGATGAAACTACAAAGTATTTCTGGAACTACTAGTTATGAAATTAATCGTCAATGTTTGCAGGAAAAGGGTGGACCGAGTGCAATGGAGATGGATTCAATGGAGGGTCTAAGTAGCAGAGGACTATGCTTGGTTCCATTGGAATGCATCCTCCATGTCGCAAACAACAATGGTGCCGATTTCTGGTCATCTGCTACTATAACTTCACCAGGACCAGGCCTTGAAATCTAGTTGTCATCTAAGTATAGTCCAAGTAGTAATTACTTTGTTTTTGTGAATTTAAGTAGCTAAATGAAGAAGTAATGTAAAGTTTTTGCTCAAAGGAACAAGAATTGTGTCTTCTTAGACCTAATGAAGGGGACAAATGTTTTGGGTGCCAAGGGATAAGAAGGTATAGATTGTTGATGAACTTGGGACTAATAGCTAGTTGAAGGGTACGTATATAAGAAAATATTTTTACATCTGAATATCTAGTACAAGTACAATATTTTGAATCTCTTTGTAGTATGGAGTAGTGCAACTCAATCAGTAAAGTCTTCTTTTGACACTAAAATGAGGGTTCCATACATGCACTTTGTACACTATTGTACTCCGTATTGAAATAAATATGAACGGAGTGGAGCTTAGCTGAACTGAATTGAACTGAATAGAGTTGAAATGAATATTTTATGAGAGAAGGAAATTAGGAATGGAACTGAATTGAAATTAAGCTGAAGAGAATAGACCCTAAATACGTATGAGAATTTATCTAAACTTGCAAAAAATGAAATGATTATACTTTCTCCGTTTTTTAGATGCATCACTTTTTATATATATAAAGTTTTATACTTTTAATTAAGATGCACCACTTTCCTATTTAGTTAATATATTTTCTCTATCTTTCTCATATTACATGGATCTTTTTTTCTTTTTTTTTCTTTTCTTGTTATATTTCTCATCTCCAAAGATCATCTAAAAGCCGTGATTCTGAAAATGATGCATCCATTAAAACCACTACCTCCGTTAAATGTTATGTGCAACTTACCCCCAAAGTAACACATTACATTTAACGGAGGTAGTATAATCATAACTTGTTAGTTCTCGGCTTCTCAAGCAAAACATGGTTTTACTAAACTTTTTAAGGATCTAAAAAGATGTTTTAATTCAACTAATTATTATTATTATTATTTTTTTGTAAAGGTTAATTCAATTAATTATTGAGGTATGTGAAAATTTTGTTTTTTTTATGCAATCAAGTAACTTAATCAAATTTAATTAGTCACATAGCTAATGCCACCCTAATACTTAGTATAACATATACAATCAAAACACTAGCAGCTCTCTTACTTTAGCTCATTAATCGAAATAGTCTCGAAAATAGACTATTTTCGACCCATTCTCCTAATTATGTTCTAATTTTCACTATTGATTTCAATAAATCTACACGACTAGTGTAGATGTACCAGTCTCTCTGTGGTAGAATTGTTGGTCGTTGGTGGAGTTATTGATTTTGATTGTTGGTTGACGTCTACAATTTGACGACTCCACCGAAGAGAATTCTTGATTATTTATCGATTTAAGTAATCGGTATTTAATTGAGACGAGATTCTTGAATTTGACCACTTTCTTTCAAAGGTTTATAATTTTCCGTTTCATATCGAAAAAAAAAAATACACAATTCCTCTCTTATCCCTATATAGACTTCTATTGCAAGTTTGTTGTTTTCCTTCGCATTCTTCTTCAAACATTCATCTGATTCCCGCGCTTTTTGTAGCAAAATTTGCGTCGAAAATGAGCTACGATTCAACTCGTTCTGGAAATTCCAATTCGAATTCCAAAAGAAGCTTCAATTCAAATTCTTCCAATAACACTAACAATAAGAAGAAGAAGACTAATCAGAAAACCCTAGGCGTCGCTTGGGGAGCTAATTCTCTCACCTCTTCCCGATCTTCGTTTCGTAGTGCCCCATTTTCCGATTTTGGCAGGTAAATTTATTTATTTTTTCCGTTTAATTTATTGAATTTCACTTCAAATTTCGCTCAAAATCGCTTAATTTGATGTAGGTTATGTGCTCAGACTGTTTAATTTCACTTTGCACGAGATTTTTGTCGTTGATTGCAAATTATTAGTTCAATTGGTCAATTTTGACACAATTTGGGAATGTCTTGAACATAAATTGCAGTTGCTTAAATAGTTGTGGAAAATTTTGATACTTGCTTTTTATTTTAGGGTAGGTGAATTGAAGGCGTTATTTTAAGGTTATAAAATTGAATTTAATTTAATGTGTTGTGCAGTTATATGGCTGTGAAGAATAAGAAACTACATGATCAGTTTGATGCAGAAGCTTCAAATTCTTCTTACAGTGGTTCAGATTCTGTAAAACCGATATTTCAGGGTGTTTCGATTTTTGTTGATGGATTTACTATTCCCTCTAGCCAGGTTTGTTATAAACTAGCCTCCGAATTCTTTTTTATGTTGGTGCTTGGATCGATTAATTGTAATGATCATGAAAAATATTGGTAATAAAACCTAATAGGAGCTTCGAGCATACATGTTGAAGCATGGGGGACGATTTGAGAATTACTTTTCGAGGCATCGTGTCACTCATATAATTTGCAGTAACCTACCTGATAGTAAAATTAAAAACCTCAGGTTTTTTCTTTTTTCTCTTGTCAATTATTCTTTCTTTAAATAGTGATAGTAGAGTACTTAATGGTTTAGGGTTGTATTGGAATATGGTTTGATTCGTTGTATAATTGGTGTAGATCTTTCAGTGGTGGACTGCCTGTTGTAAAACCCACTTGGGTGTTGGATTGTGTGGCAGCTGGGAAACTGTTGAACTGTGAGTCTTTTATTTGCTCATCCTAACTACTCCGTATTTGTTACAGAGTGCATTTTTTTTTTTTACTTTTTGCACGATTGTCACTGTCCAAACAGGAAGAACGTTTAGTGACGGAGGGAGGGTGTATTATTCTTTTCTTGCCTAGTTGCCTTTGGTGTTTATGTCAAACCACTTGGATGTTCACTCAATTCTCCAGATTCCCTTAACGAATTAGTAGAATAGGAATTTGAAATAAATTAATAAAGTAAAAGACAGCAGAATTAACAGCCTTTATTAGCTAAAAGAACAAGTGACTAAGAACATTGGAGAATATAGCTTACTTAAATAGAGCCTTCTGGCAAGACCCACATTTAGTCTTTTAGATATGGCCTATTGATGCAGTTCCAGTTTCTGTATAGACTATAGAGTCTAATATGTACATACTCTATATTAAGAGAATATGACAAATATGTTGAGACTTGAGAGGAGTGGTGCATTAAAGATGTGCTAGCATCAGAGAGATAGATGTACGTTTTTTTTTCTTAAATAAACCAATATTAATATGGGAAAGAGGGGGTTAATTGCAGAGAGAGCGTTTGATATATTAAATTATGTTTTACAGCTGTAAGTTCGTTTGAGATACTGTACACCTTTCTTCAATATATAACCTTTCATTTCTGAATCTAGTAAAGAGAATTTGTAGGAAGATTCTATGGAAAAGGTTAACTGTAGCATATTAGTTAGAAGAGTATTGAACTTTTGTTTTTTCGTTTTCCAAATTTGGCAACTAATTCTTTGCAGGAATTTAAAGAGAGCTGGATACTGGTGCATCCAGTTTTTATGGCTGGAAATAAGAATATTTATATGCGAAGGAGAAAATTTGAAATGGCTAAATAATTTTGACTCTATTCTTCTTAAGAATCTGGTTCTGGGATAATGTAGGGTATGCCAGGTTCACTTTACCCTTTAGCTTCCCAAAATCCAAGTAGAAGTTATTTTCTGCTTTGGTAATGATCTTGTCAAGCAGTAATTGTGCTGTATGCCTGTGAATTCCCCTGACTTTGTTCTTTTTTCTTGTCTTTTTTTTTTTAAAAAAAAATTTAGGGGTTCCATACCAACTCATTCAGCTGGCCAATGAAGGAAGCAATCAACCAAAGCTGTCTGCTTTCTTCGCTTTGAAACGAAATACAGTCAATCAAGGTGTTCTGTCTGATTCAGCTTGTATGCTGCAAGCTGAAGCAGATGCTGAAGCTTCAGAAGTGAAGGATGATGTTGTTCTTGATCATGCCTCTTCTGAATTGGGTGAGTTGTCTGAATGTTCTAGGCAAAGTGAAAAGAAGATGGAAGACGATGGATGTAAGAAAATTGGTACAGCTGACTCAGAGCAATTTTTTGAAGAAGATTTCTCCCAACCAGAGAAGTCAGTCACCTCTAAAGACAAAGTCGATATTAGTCCCACCAGTCATCATGACTCGTATGAAAAGCCTAGCGGGGATTCATCTGGTTCATTGGCTGGGGGACCTTCCTGCTGCCGTCATTCAACCCTTGAGGACCCGAATTTTGTTGAAAACTATTTTAAGGTGTAAAAACTCTAAATGTTTCCCTGTTCTCTTTCATCTCTTTTATCTGCATTTTTCCTCCATTTCTTTTAAAATATGTTTTTTCATTTTTTTTTATTTGTGTTTGTGGCTGGGAAGAGTTCAAGGTTGCATTTCATTGGAACTTGGAGGAACCGGTACCGTAAGCGATTTGCCTGCCTTTCCAATAAAACTAAGCAAAAAAGCTTTGATGTTAATGCTGCTTCTACTTCTCGGAAAACTATGATCATCCATATGGACATGGTACTTGATGACTTGAGTCTTCTCTGTTGAAACTTTTTCTCTAATTCGTAGTCTTGTATCAGTCTTTTCAATGCCACACTCTTTAAGTCTTAAGAAAAAAATGTGTCTCCCTTACTTAAAGGCCCAATTCCCTTATTCCCACCATCTATTGATCCTCTTGATTAATATATCATTGCAGGACTGTTTTTTTGTGGCTGTTGTTATCCGGAACCGTCCAGATTTGATGGACAAGCCTGTAGCAGTGTGCCATTCAGACAGTTCTAGAGGAACTGCTGAAATCTCTTCTGCTAATTATCCTGCTCGAGACTATGGTTGATTTCAAATCCTTATGGCAGTTAGCATTGTGATTTAAATGGACAGTTTTTTAGAAATTTATTCTCAAATGGTTTTATCTTTCTTGTAATAGGGGTGAAAGCTGGAATGTTTGTTAGAGATGCCAAGGCTCGTTGTCCTCATCTAGAAATCATACCTTACAATTTTGAAGCTTATGAAGAGGTATTTTAGACCATCGAGTCTCATATTAGTTGCCATCGTCCCCACCCCCAAAACCTCTCATAGTTTGTATTAGAGAAGTCCTGATTTGCGAGTCTTTAGAACTTAATGAAACTTTTGCTGTTGTGGCAGGTAGCTGACCAATTCTACAACATCTTGCACAAGCACTGTGATAAAGTGCAGGCATGTGCAACAATATTCTATGCAATTTAATCCTTGCTGTCACTCTGTCAGTATTTTTTAGCAGATCTGTTTTTCCTGCAGGCAGTAAGTTGTGATGAAGCATTTCTGGATATCACTGACTCAGACGTGGCAGAGCCGGAGCTTTTAGTTTCTGAAATAAGAAAAGAGATCTTTAAAACAACAGGTTGCACGGCTAGCGCAGGCATTGCTTCAAATATGCTTATGGCTCGTCTTGCCACTAGAACTGCCAAACCAAACGGTCAATGCTACATCTCTCCGGAGAAGGTACTACTTAATGTAAATGATTCTTGGAAAAGAAAATTCAATTAGTTGCATGACTGTAAATATGCCTTGGGAAAAGATCAGTTCCATCTTGCAGTCTTGCCTAAGTCAAGACTGACTCGTTGAGCTCAAACTTGGGATTGCTTGATCATGATGATATATTTGCATTTCTGCATGTCCAAAGACTAAAGATGTAATTTCCTTGCTCTAAATTATTTGAGGAACACTTTACAAGGGGTTAATTTTAAGTCAAAAACCTGTGTTGTAGCTTGGCTGAGCTTTATGCAGCTTTGGCTATTGATCACAGTGTAAGGGTTTTGTAAGCTGGATCCGTATTTGCTTTGCAGTCTTGTGGTCATTTTTATTTATTTTTTTCTTTTTTTTATCAGAACAATTGCAGTCAACTTTCTGTCATCAAATGATTGATTTTTGTTTGATCTGAGCTCAAGAAGTTTGAGTGCTGGCTTAAATTCTCTCTTTGTTGTCCTGTGCATTCTTATAATTTACTCTCTCTTGGAACCATTGCTTTCTTTTTACAGTTGATTTTCCGTCTCTGAAATGGTGACTACTAAATTTGTTTTGCAGGTTGACGAGTATCTGTTGCAACTCCCTTTAAAGACACTTCCAGGTATTGGACATGTCTTGGAGCAAAAGCTAAAAAATAAAGGAGTTCAGACCTGTGGCCAATTGCGAAGGTTTTCTAAGGTCTAATATATAGTGCAAAGCATAGTGATATCTTGTCTATGATGTTATACTCTGATTGGAATATTGGCACTCTGTATCTTTGTTCCTCTCGGATGTTAAGTGTTATAACTGTTAAATGTGAGATTATATGATCTAAGTAAGGGGTTGGCTCTTATGGAACTTCTTAACAAGTTTTGATATACTCAAATTGTAGGAGGCTTTACAGAGGGACTTTGGAACAAAAACTGGTGAAATGTTGTGGAATTACTGCAGAGGTGTTGATAATCGGCTAGTTGGAGTCATTCAGGTTCGGCAGAATATATGATACATGTCTGTTGCATTTTCCTTTTTGGTATACCCAAATTATTTTGGTGATTGCTCTTGTGGTATTGAGGTGCTTACATACTTGCAGTTGCTTGAGATGGATATATTTGGTCCAGTACATCTTGTAGAAGGGCTAGCCATTTGCGAACTTCCAGTTTGGAACATTTGATGGTTGATAGTACATTCGGTTTTTTTTTTATTTTTATTTTTTTTAAGAGCGCAAAAGGCTGTCTAGAAACATGTTAGGGATTATACGTTGAAATTTCTGTGGCGCATTGATAGGGTGTGTTTTATTACCCTTGGCGGGATCTGCATATTGAAGTGTAAGACTAGATTTAACATGTGCAACTTTTGAATTGATATTTTAAGATTGTGAGTCACTTCTAGAAGTCTATGGAAGATTGAATCCAGCTATTAATTATTCTGGTATACATGTTCACTTGTTTGGATGACTGCCTAGTTCCCAGTTTTGAATTAGGTTAATGTAATTTTTAATCTTCTTCTTTTTTGATGGAGAGATGCATTGAGCAAAATCTGTGTTGTGAATCTCCATGTAGTGTTTGATCTTAAACCTATTTGAATATTGACTCCACTTATTTTTGTCATATATGCCTAGTCTAACATATAATGTATTTGACAAACTTATATATGTGTTGTGAATCTCCATGTGGTGTTTGACAAACTTATATATGCCTAGTCTAACATATAATGTATTTTTAAAACCTTGTTTAACTATCTTTATGCTGTCTAAACATATAATGTATTTTTAAGAACCTTGCCTTTTGACGTATAATTTAGATATTGATTCTATTGAGCAATTGTTTTGACTAATAAACACATTGTATAGGAAAGCAAGTCAATTGGTGCTGATGTAAACTGGGGTGTGCGCTTCAAGGATATAAAAGATGTCGGATCTCAACTCTTTATGCGACAAAATATCCAGTTTTCTTTGCCCTTAAATATGTCTGAGATATGTTTTCACATGCTTTACAGAGTGAACACTTCCTTTCGAGTCTGTGCAAGGAGGTTTCTTTGCGCTTGCAGGGATGTGGATTACAAGGGCGTACCTTTACGCTCAAGGTACAACAATTTTCTTTTCTGCTTATGTAACATTGTTTATTTCTATGTATGTATATATTTATATAATATTGTAAATTTTTTGTTGGATTTTTCTTTATTTATTTGTTTTTTTCCTTTTCACATTCATGCTCTGGAGTCTGGAGTTATTGAAAGCTTTGTTGACTGTGAAATACTTGTTTGTTTGTTATTCATGGTGTTAGATAACTCTGCTAACTCAAGTTATAATCTTTGTTTTTGTCTGCATTAATAATTTTTAGATTAAGAAGCGCAGAAAAGATGCTGGGGAGCCAACAAAATACATGGGTCATGGGGCTTGTGAAAATCTTAGTCACTCTACGACAGTATGTTTAGATTAAATTTTGACAATTGTCATTTTGTTTATTATCATTTTTTTCTCATCCTAGAGTTACTCTTCTGATTACAGGTTCCTGTTGCAACAGATGATGTTGACATTCTTCAAAGGATAACAATGCAGCTATTTGGATCATTTCATATAGGTCAGCTTGTATCTGGGATCTTTAACTTTTTAGTTTTTAGTCCACTAAATGATATTGGCTACTAAGGAGTTTGTAATAATAATGAGTTTGCACATTTTATAATTTGTCTACTGTGGCATGGGAGGTACATGATAAATTATGACTTTTTCGAGTTTTAAAGGTTTAAAATTTGTAATATAAGGGCTCTTTCATAAAATTGAGATAGGGCTGCATTATGCTGTAAACAATTGGGTTTGGAAGTCATTTCTATTCCTTTAATGTTTTCTTTTTGGGGTGGCCAGACCTTGGTGCCACTAGCTTTCTGCCATTGTAGTGCTGGTCTATTGTCTTAATACACGTTCTTTTTTTTTTTTTTTTTTAATTATTATTTAAGAGCTTGGGTATTGCTGATGCCTTTTTTCTATGGGAAAGAGATGATTGGGAAAGTCTGGATACAGAGTCTTGAATTTTAGAGCCAAGCAAATGTTTCTATTTCCTCCTAGATTTTCACAGCCTTAGTCATTGATAGATCTATTAGATTTTCTCCAAGTTTTAAACTATCCGTTTTATCTGTCTAGATGTCAAAGATATTCGAGGAATCGGATTACAAGTGACCAAGCTGGAGAGTAATGATACTATGAGACAAGGTTTGTGCTAGTCTGTTTGAGCACCTTGTTGGCTTGTTATTCTATCAACAATTTTCTTTATATTTTTTTTATTTCCATCTGCTTGTTTTCTATGTCTTATAGTAGAAAACTAGCAAAGTATGTCTTTGATTTGCATGCCATTGACATGGTCTTGTATTTTCTTGTTTTGCTTCTTCACTTTGATGTTTCTGACAATATCTAATGTCTCCTTTTCATATCCGATCTTAAGGGCAAGAAAGAAATTTTCTAAGGTCGTGGCTTGGATCTGGCACAACAAACTCTACAGAACACCGCAACATGCGTGATACAGGTATTGTGGATATACCATCTTCAAACAGAGATTGTGGTTACAGGTCTTCCTGTTGAAAGTATCTGCTCTGCGTAACATCTCATTTTGATTTTGTTGCAGGCCAAGCTTATCTTGAGTCTGTTGGACCTTCAGCGACAAGTTCAAATCCTTCATACCATGAATCTCACTCAAATCCAGTTGCAGTGCTGCCGTCATTGGGTGATCTTGATCTGGGTGTTATTGAGAGCTTGCCCCCAGAGTTGTTTAAAGAGTTTAATGATATGTATGGAGGGAGGTTGACTGATCTCATATCCAAAATTAAGGACAAAGACCTATATAAGAGTGTCTCTGCTATGTCTGTGAAGAAAGTTGAAGGTAACATTTTGTCTGTGTATGTTAGATTTTGCCTGGCTTACTATTTAACCCCAATGGTCATTTAGGTGAATTGCGCAACGAACAGGAAATTCATGCTTCTGCTGCTGTGCAAATTAACAACATTAAGGACGACAAGGTAGTGTATAATACAGCTGCCGATTTTCATTTGATGACTGTTTTATTATCATTTTCATAGGAGTTATCTTGTACTTTTGCTTCCTTCTTTCATAGGTACATAGTATTGTGATTAATTGGGTACAACATAATAATATTGCCTCATTTAAGCATGTAAACATGCAGTTGTTGCTTTTGTATTTATGTTTTGTTTAATAATGACTTGTTGTTGTGGTCTGTAGGCTGGGTGCTCCGAGAACCAGGAAAAAGAGGTATTGCCTGCTATTGGCAGTTGGCACAGCAACTGTGTCTGTAATTATTTCTATTTTTGTGTTGAATACTTGAATCAGAAATGTCAACCTAATACCTTAGTCATTCAAGCCAAGTGGACATGTCTGTTTTGTTTTGTAATGACTTATCATTGTGGATTTGTGGTCTGTAGGCCGGGTGTTCCAAGAATCAGGAAAAGGAGGCATTGCCTACTATTGGCACAGTAACTGCAATTATCCCTAATTCTGAAGTGGAATCAGGAGTTGTTGACCTAATGCCTTATTCATTAAGCCAAGTGGACATGTCTATACTACACCAGTTACCTGAGGAACTGAGAGCAGATATAGTTGGGGCACTTCCTGCCCATCGAAGGCCAAATGGTTTACCTGAGTCTTGCAAAGTTTCCGAGGTAGCGCAGAAAATGGGGCATGGCCGGGATAATACTGGATCTGTGGAATGTGCTAAAGATAGTAATCTTTGGGTTGGAAGTCCTCCTTGTTGGGTCCATAAGTTCAAAGTCAGCAATTGCTTGATTTTGAACATTCTTGCAGAGATGTTTCTCAGGTCAGGGTCTACTGGGGTGTTGTCCTCTACGCTGCAATGCTGTCTCTCAGGATTTCAGATATATAGTGATTTCGATGATGTGGGTAATGAATCTTCGCATAACTTATGCGAGCTTCTGAGGCAGTATATTCAGCTGAAGCTTGAGGAAGACATTGAGGAAATCTATGTTTGTTTTCGTCTTTTAAAAAGGTATGCATCTAATGTCCGTTTATTAGGTTTGGCACGACAACTCTGCTTAAAATACAACTGACATGTTCTCACATAGAAGCACTTTTTTTGATATAAATTTATATTTGTCCTTTATATTATCTAGAGCTTATTAGGTGCACTTAGGAGCTTTTTCTCTCAACTCATTTAAGGGCGTAGGCAGGGGTCCAACCCTTATGTTCATCCTTATATTCATGTCACATGACCTGAATGATAGTGGTACACTGATATGCACAATAATTTGTCTGTGTTCTCAGAGGATCTCAACAAAAGGATACATCATACTCTTATAATGTGTCTAAAGGATTTATCTGGACCTGCGGCTGCTATATAGGGCAGTGGCGGAGCCAGAAATTTTAAATCGGGGGGACGGATGGACATTACATATTTTGAAAAAAATTATTCGGAAAAAAAAAAAAAACACCAATACTTAAATACACCGAGTGCTCAATAATTAATGTGTACAATTCAAAAAATTCACAATACAGAGTACTTAATAAAAATTCAACATCATATATCAATTTTTCCTCCAAAATTAATCGCTTATGAGTTCGGAATTTTTAATAAATTCGAACTTTATAAAATATAAGTTATTAAATGCAATAGTTATAATGTATAATTTTGTATGACAAACTTAATTTAGTGGGTTTTGTTCATGCAATATCATAATTAAAATTATTATTTAAATATATATACTTAGTATATATTAATTAAAAAAATTGAAAGGAATACTTCTTAATTAAACATTATAAAGAAAAAAAGTGAATGGAAAATACTCCACTTAAGTTCAATGACAATAGATTTAGGGGCTCCATTCATGCAATATTACAATTACACTTATGTAAATAAATTCGTATTGGTTAATAGATATAATGGAAGGATTCTTCAAAAAAACAAAAAAAAAAAAAAAAGGAAATATTACAACAACAAGGTTCGAACCTTGGTATCTTGCAAAAAATTCAACTCCACTCACCACCACACCATCCACTTTGTATCCTAAATTAATCCACACAATAATATATATATATATATATAGCTGCTTGTTTTTTTGGGAAGTGGGGGGACAACTGTCCCCCCTTGTACCCCTCTGGCTCCGCCAATGATATAGGGAACTTTAAATCTGAATCTGAAATCCATATCTATCAATATTGCAAAATTGCTGGTTCTAGGATTGAAGTGGCCTTTCTTTCAATACCTACATTGGAATTATCTAATTTGACTCAAGTTAAGACTGGGTAGTCTTAGGCTTTCATATTTGCAGCTGTGGAAATAATGTGTAAAGGATGCTTTTTATGTTTCCTATTTGTGCAATTATGCTTCCCTTGACAAGTATCAAAAGTAAAATAAAAATCTGATTAGACTCTCAAATACACGAGCATTGTGCACCTTTTGAAATTGCTTTGGGTTGCATTTGTGTAAGCTTTTTATCTTTCCGGCGTTTCGTATTGTAGTATCAGAACTCAGACAAAGGTTTAATGTTATTGAATTAGCTAGTATCCAGGATCAGACAATTGCATTGATTAATATGGGTTCTACGCTAACATGATCTTTTTGAATGCACTCTTTTGGACCAATTTTAGAGGTTTCAGGACCCGATGTCGGCAAATTTCGGGATTTTCAGGGATGCATCCCAAGGTCATATATTTTTTTTGGAAGCACATGTAACGATTATAACCACTAAACGGTCATAAAAAGCCTATGGTGACCTTGAGTTAATTAAGGGAGATTTCTACGGAAACAACTAAATTGACGGTTTAAAGGCAAAGTGGATGGTTCCAACAACCCAAATGACCTCTCGGGTTGTTGTGGGGTCCATGGAAAGAACCCTGACAAAATTTCTTTCTAGGTCGAAGAAGTCCGAAATTGACCAAAATTGAAGGCTCGTGAAATTTGAGGGGGTTAATGGGTTTTAGACTTTCATGTTGAAAAATCTTAGGATTGAGGGGTTGTATCTCTGTGTCATATAATATTGTTTGGAACCATATATAGGCACAAGTCGATTGTACAAAGTCATGTGATGGTCTTGAGTTATTGGGGGGCGGGGGGGGGGGGGGGGAACTGGCAGATTAAAGGTAAAGTTGATGGTTCCAATCACTCAAATGGACTCCAGGGGTTTTTTTGGTCTATGGGATTATGGGAAGCACCCCGACCTGTTTTCTTTTCGGGTCCCAAAAAGTTGTAAATTGTTCAAAATTAAAGGTTATTATTCACACTTTTGGGCCACTTTTGAGAAAATTTTCCGAAGTTGAAGTAAATGCATGGGGTGTTCCCAGGGTCATATAAGCTGGTATGGAACCATAAGAAGCCTATCAATAGGTCTATATAAAGTCCCAATAATGAGTTTGGTTCAGTAATGTGGCTATTTTGAAATTATGTGGCAGGAGGTGGTTGCAATAATAACCAACTTGGCATTCTGGAGCCCCCTCATCTTCATTGATGTTAATTATTCCAAACCCTTTGAAATTGGTCCAAAGCTGGTCTTTGTATTCTGTATCCTATTTTGAACGTGTTTTTTTTTTTTCCCTCATTCTTTTTAAATAATAATTACATCCTGCCTGTTATTCATTTATCGTAACACTTGGTTAATGGATCAGGTTGACATTGAAATTAAAGGCTTTTAAACATGCATATGACGCTGTCTTGCCTTATCTCCAGGTATGATATTGCTTTTGTGATCATGTCTTTTCTTCTCTCATTATCTGATTCTACAAAATTGCCTAAATGAATTGTTAGAATTATGCACTTTGAAGTTAATGGAAGTTTATATATCCTGACTACTACTGAAGCTCTTTCTAACCATCAACCCACAGAGAAATTTACTATATCTGCAGTTAACCTTTTGCTAAATTTTTGGGTTTAGGTGTCTTTCTATTAGATTTTTTTCCCCATAAAAGAATATTTGGCAAAATAGAAACGAACTATCATGATATGCAAGAAAATGATGATATGCGTGGTCAATTGCTGACTCACTTTTTTGGGATGGTTTAAGAGGGAGGTTATCTTTGATAATAGTTATTTTGTACAAATTTGTATGAACAGAATGCAGGTGTAGTGGCTTTCTTATAATTTAATGCCTTGGTGGGATTATCATTGGTTTAAAGCCATTTTGGCAGCTTCTGTCCTCTCTCTATTACCAACAGTTCTAGCCTTCTAGGAATTCTTGATGATGAAAACATATCAATTTTAGTTTTGCATGTTCAGTTTCTCCGAATAGCTGACATTATCAGTTGTTCACTTGTTTGCTTGTTTAGCTGGTTAAGTCTGTTGGGCCTGGTGGTGCCAAAGACCTGTACTCCAAATTCTAACTGCTTGTTTCAGTATTTCCCTATGTGCCTTGGTGGCTCCCATGAATTGCTGATGTAGCCTTTTATTCTCTATTTTGTTTGTAATCATATGTTAATTGTTGCTTGTAAATATATGTTAGGCTTGTATCAGTGAAAGCTACGGAGGACACTTGGATTTGCCTGCGATGGAGTAGATGTCTTTGGCTATTCTTTCCATGAATCATGGATTAACCTTGTTTCATTCCAATAATTGGTATGGAATTTCGATGAATATGTTTCTTGTAATTGTTTAATCACTGTCTTTGGAAGGAGTAATTTTCTGTTATTATCACTTAAAAGATGTTCGTTTACATTCCATTGTATTTGTGTATGCCTCCTCCCAACAACTGGGAAGAGCCTTTATTTTTTGCACATTATGCTTTGATCTAAGGAAGTGTATTTATGTTTTAAGGAACCACTCGCTATGAGTCAACATACATTGTTCCTTCTCTTCATCCTGCGGAAGGATGTTGATTAAGGATATGCTCATGCTGTAATGCAATGGCAGTGGCTGTGCATCTATGTATTTCCGAGTTTGAAGTTATGCAACTTCCGTTGAAAATAGTGGATCTCTTAAAAAGGTGACCTTAGACCACAATGGAACAAATTGGCCCGGATACTAGAACTCATGCCCGACGCAGAGCATGAGGATATTTATCATCAATGTGATGATGACGCTTGAAAGTAGAAACCCAAGCTGTAGCTGCATGTGTAAGTTTCTGACCCCTAGTCTTAATTGCAAGATTATGGTAATGCATCCCAAGCATATTGGGTAGTAGTTTTATTTGCAAACACTTATTGTTAGTTTCGCAAACACAATTTGGTGGATTGAAATAATATTTTGCAAAGGATATCAAATGAACAATAAAAGCTAGGTTTTGTTCATGTATTAACTTTTCCAGTTGCTTTGTACTTTTAATAATTGTTTTCATCTGGATCTAAGTATTCTTTTGCTTTGCAGTTAAATAAACGATGCAACCTTGTCTATTACAAAGTTGATGACGATATGGCATAAACTTGATTCTCCGTGTAGAGATTGAAATCTATGCAGTTCTTTCCCTATGATGACTTTGACAGGTTAGTTTGCTTATATTGCATCATGCCTGGATCAGTCATTTCATGCTCTCATTTCTTGTATTGGTTTTCGTCGCAGGTGATAGAAATGTCTGCTCTGCTTTGAATGCAACATAATTTCCCCTCTTATGGGAGAGGATGTGCTTTGGTGTGAGCCAAACGATGGTATCAACTATAACAGTCCATAAGCATACAATTTTGGAATTCCCTAGCACCGTTTGTGGTTATATCATACATTTACAGCTTGGAAACTGAGTGGATGTTGAATTTTCCTAAACTCTTCTCTCACTCGTACTAGTATCTTGAATTCCACAGGAATCATGTCACAGGCGGTCAGTCAAAGCTTATTGCTGGAAAGTATGTCTGCATATCAGCATGTGTAGATGATGAAATTATGAAACAGCTGAGCACCTTCCTTTTTATCTCCTTTCTAATAATGTATTACATTGACCATCTATCTTGTAGGTTTTCAAATGTTGTATGTTCTTGATGTTTTGAAAATGGTTGAGAATTGTAAGGTGCACTAACACAACTAAATCAATGGTGACTTGTTCAAATTCAAAACATTGACTGCAAACAAAATCTTAATTGAATTCAAATTTTTTGAGCTTGCGCATTTCTTGACTGAAAATTGTATTAGCTGCTTGTTTGTGTGTGAGTGAAGAATATAAGATGTTTTAGTCATTGCTTAGGTCACACTTACATTGTATTGTATGTGCTCTGCTTTAGGACGGTTGGTTTTTTATCAACATATTTGTGCAACATTTCCATAAATTTTGAGCTAATTTTCAGTCTTATTTTGCTATTTGCCATTCAAAAGTGGTTGTTCACACGTCATTATATGTTGGCTGTTCACACTACTAGTCTTCTCTTTTGCTCGGCTTGCTGTCATGTACACATGTTACTTTTTGGGGGTGGAGGTTAGCAAAATGCTGAAATTGTAATGGATATTAAAAAGTAAAAATAAAATTGAAATGAAATGTTAATGGTTATCCCCTCACTACTAAGTTAAAGAAAGGTTTCTTTTGACTTTAAAGGTTGAAGTTCATTATTTATTATTATAATTGATTTGTTATAGATTATTTTTAATTATTTACTTGCTATTAAAGTATAAATCATTCTATATAAGGATTTCATTGGGTGTTGCTAGATTTGGAAAAACGATAGATTTGTAAAGACCTGATCCAAAGTTAAAAGTTTAAAAGTTAATGATTCGAAATTTGATTTAATTTGAACTAAACTTTAGTAGGATTGAAATTCACTTAGTTTTCCTAAAAATACTTTAAAGGTAAGATTCTTATCTTTAACAATCCTCAAAGTATTTAGATTTTTATAATAGACGTATTATCTCGAACTTTAAAATAGGAAACTTAAAATGAGACTCGTACTTGACCGAATAGCTTCTCAAGTACTTGTTCATAACTTTGATATCTCTTTCACAACCTTTATGTAAAAATAAAAAATGACAACAATGAAAAAGTCCAATAAATAAACTTTCAACACATAAAACAGCATTAAATAACTAAAGTATACGTACTAAGATTGTACCAGTAAGAATGTGAGATTATACTTTATTAATAACTAAAATCAGTCCAAAGTTTGAAAACGCCAATCGTTATACTAGTTGCAGCTTAACCAGCGTACCAACTCTCCTACCTTTATTCCGACACTTTGACTTAACTCGTTTCATATGCTAAACATTTTTCGACTTCTAACTTTTAATCTGTATAACCTTTCCTTCACACACGTTTCCAACCCTTTAAAATTCAAACCTTTGAAAATTTTAACTACCGTTTACTTCTTCGCCAAACTTCATAAACTTTTCCCACAATATTTTTCTTTATTTATTATCAACCCACCAAATTTTGTTATATACTAAGTCAATTTGTAGTAGATGAACATATATTTCATTCTCTTTCCCTCTATAAATATTCAAAACCTCATTTCATATTTCTTCATTATTCTCAAAACATAAATTTTCACGTACAAAAAGCTACAATACATACCATTTAATTTACATTTTATTTCTTGAGATATTTTAGCTTCCAAAAAAGAAAAAGAAAAATGAGGTGCCAAATTTATGTATCATTCTTCAACATGATTCTTGTTACAATCTTCTTTTTGCTTATTTCTGAGTGTATGCGAGTAGAAGGCGTGAGACCTCTAAGAGATCAAGAACAACCCGTTGATTCATCGATTTTTCGATATGTTATCGCAAGAGCTTACTCCGGTCCAAGTAGGGGTGGTGCTGGTCATTGATCATTTTAATGGAGATACATTATTGATGAGTTCGTTGTTGAAGACTTGAAGATATTAGTGGTTTGTTTATTATTTTATTCCATTGCTAAACAAAATTATATGGAGAGAACACTTGCTCTTTCTATTTTTTCTTTTTCGCCTTGTCTCGGGGCGTTGGTAGGATTCGAACCCAGGTCTCTTGCCTCGAAACAGGCTTCATATACTACATAGATATTGACATATGCCACAACAAGAGTATTTCTTGTACTTGTGTAGATATTTTAATTTATTATTTTACAAATTAGGTAGGAAACTTTGAGAGTGTACAAATGGAAATGGATAAATCCATAATCCATCCACATACAAAATACAATATACTACGTACTTTCTATTCAATATAGATTATTTGTTTTTAATTTCTTATTTTTGATGCAATATTGACTTTGTTTTATTCAACGATCAAATAAATGTTCGATATCCTTTGGAGTACTTAAATTGTATTCTAATTGTGCGTTACAACAACTAAACGTGAAATACAACACAGTCCAAATTCAAATTGGAATGATTAAATGGATAAAATTAGTACTCCGTGATAATATAGATTGATAAATATAGATAGATGCTATATTCCTTGCTAAATCAATCTTTGACTAATGTGGTAATAAGTCTTGTAACAAGATAATATTAATGATTATGATATAGCGTGGACTCAATTTGTCAAAGATCACAATATTTGACGATTCTTACTGATTATGCCGTGCCAACTATGCAAGCTCACGAGCAGCTAGATTGTGCTTTGAAATCGATCCAACCATCCATATATTATAATATCAAATTGTCTCAAACAATATGTGTATACATATAATCTTGGGCCTCAACCATCCGCTTAACTTTTTGATTTAGATGATTCTCTAATATGGCATCGGAGCTAATGTGACATACATGTCATGGATTTGAATCTCATCCGATCCACCCCCACCTTTAGAAATATTACGCGCTGGGCAATTAGTATTATGTGCACCATGGTGCACCTAGAAATAGGTGCACCACGACTATACTTTTGAACATTTAGTAAAAAAAAATTGAACATTTTACAAAAAATGAACATTTAGTAAAAAGAATATGAACACGTCACAAAAATTGAACATAAACATACAATTTTAATGTTCATATTTTATCAAGAAATGTTCATTTTGTATACATTAAATGTTCAGTTTATATTACAAAACTATTGAATTATTACGAGTCAGTTCAAAATTTGTCTGACTCGTAATAATTCAAAAGTTGCGATTGTTCAGATTTTTTTACTAAATGTTCAAAATTATGATGTTCATGTTTTTTAACTAAATGTTCAAAATTCTTGATTGTTCAGATTTCTTTTACTAAATGTTCAAAAGTATAGGCATGATGCATTGCAATTGTTCAGATTTTTTAACTAAATGTTCAAAATTTGCGATGTTCAGATGTTTTTACTACATGTTCAAAATTTGCAATTGTTCAGATTTTTTTACTGATTGTTCAAAAGTATAGGCGTGGTGCACCTAGAAATAGGTGCACCATGGTGCATCTTAAAATTTGCGCGCGCTGGGTATAAGGAGGGTTCACACTTCAAGGCTTCAAGCCCGAACGAGCTCTCGTGTGAGGAGACATGTATATAACATAATCTTGAGCTTCAACCATACCGATATGCAACTAACGCTTTAAAGTGCCACCAACATTGTCTTAAAATCTAATATCCGTGTTTATAATTTCATATTAGTCCAAGTCTAATACATAAAATTCATATCAAACAGTTTGACAATTTTCATTCGATCTAATAAAATATTATTATAGTAAAAAAACATTCTTTGTATAAGCTACACAAATTTTAAAAGTTCAACATAATTTCAAGTTACATACTTGTATCAGTTGTATATGGTCGAAACTATTTGGTCAAACAGTATGAAAGTGTACCATACCAATAAAAGATTATAAAGTTCATTTCCTGACTTAGAAGTTAGGGAGCTATATTATATACTTTCTATTCCTAATAACATGCTCAATTACCGGCCTTTGATTAAGATTTCCTTTCAAATTGTCACCCCCTCCATATTTTCAGACTCTTTTCACTCACAAAGTCACAAAAGTTGTGGCTTTTAGTAAATCACCGGATAGAATAATATAAGAAGTCTCGTGATTCGCAAAATATGTACAAGTATGAAAAAAAAAAATTCAAATAACTTAAATCAGAATAAGATCTACTACAATGAAAATAAATTGAGACATGTTCACAAACAAGTTTGTTGTATTAAAAATAATCTCTCTGATATCACAATAAAATTAGGTTGAAACAAGTTTCAATATATTTAGACAAAATAAGTCGAATTTAACATAGTTTTATTATACTTGTATTAATAAGGATGACATTATTCAATAAGAAGGGAAGGGATAATATAGAGTATAGTTATCTTCACTTTAATTAGCAAAGAAATGTGACAAAATATGGTGGTAGAACTAATAAGTGTTCACTCTCTTAAGAAGACAGATGGAAAAGGGCAGATTTAGTTTCACTGACCGTTGATTTGATGACTAACCTTGTATAAAATTTTATTATATTTGATTGATCTCAGTTTTTAAGTTAGTAGGTGAGTTGCTTGTAGTAGTAATGGCGCACACAAAAATTCACATAAATTTAATGATTTTAATCACGATCAAAATTGCGACTATCAACCAAATTTATGCTAATTGAATATTAATAACGATGTGGGATAATATTGATAGATATTTTTCTTCAATTTTAATTTAATTAAAATGATAGATATTTTTCTTCAATTTTGATTTTATTACAAAAATATTGTGTGGCTGCTGGGATTCGAGCCCAGGTCTCCACGGCCACAACGTGGAATTCTTACCACTAAACTACAGCCACATGATTGTTAATTTACTAGTATTAATTTTATATTACTTCTACTAGATGTTAATTTCCTGTCAAGAAGTGATCCAATTAGCAAACAGGCCCAATAAACAGATCCACTAACCAAACAAGCCCATTCTCTATAAGACTATTAGAAATAAAGGCCAGATGTCTTAAATTTATAAAGACTTAAAGAGATAGGTCAATATTGGAGCAAATATATTTTGTAGCTATAAGGTGCTCCAATGGTTTTTTTTAACACAAATAGAAGATATATATATATATATATATATATATATATATATATATATATATATATATATATATATATATATATATATATATATATATATATATATATATATATATATATATATATATATTAAAAGGCTATAGCCTTAATATTTACATTATACATCCCATAATATATACAAGGAAAATTGATGTAGCAACAAAATAACCTACTAAGGTGCTCC